ATACCACCTCCCCAGCCGTAGCAGCTGAACCAGGAGCAGCAGCAGCAGAAATAGCAGCAGCAACTGCAGCAGCAGCAGCGCACTTCTTGCAGGAAGATAGAAGTGACTTTGTACATCCCGAAAGTCCGCCCAGCAAAGGCATCAACAACACTTTGAATCAAGGCCTTGCGATTTTCAGCAGCCTCCCGCTGCTGCTGCTGCTGCTGCTGTTGCTGCTGGTCCTGCTGCTGCTGCTGTTGTTGCTGCTGCTGGTCCTGCTGCTGCTGCTGCTGCTGGTCCTGCTGCTGCTGCTGTTGCTGCTGAAAAGGGTTTATCTGCACCACCAACATCATCGACTCCGCCCAGGCCGACGTGCGCACCATCAGCAGCCGCCAGGTGCCTGAGCAGCAAACGCAGCAGCAGCAGCAGCAACAGCAGCAGCAGCAGATTAGCAGCGCGGCAGCATCACAGAAGATATTTTTAACGGGAACAAAGAGAAACAGCAAATGGAACAAACGGCGAGAATGAACAAAGTGACACAAGAAGGGGAAATGCACAAAAAAGTGAAAAAGAAAGATTAAAAGAATCAAAAAAAGAAATAAATTGGAAATAAATAAATTAAAATAAATAAATTAAAATAAATAATTAAAAACAAAATAAATAAAAGCGGAAACGAACACTTACCTTTGTGAGTTCGCCGGTTGTACACGGGAAAGGGAGATTGCCTGAGGAGTTGCTGCAGCAGCGCAGCGCAGCGCCAGTCTAAACCGTAGCTAAACCCTAAACCCTAAACCCTAAACCCTAAACCCTAAACCCTAGACGCACCTCCATTGCATGCGCTGCTTCCTGCATGCCGTGGTTCAGCAGCAGCAAACCAGAGGGCGGCGCCACTTGCGGCTGCAGCCGCTGCACCCCGCACACAAACCCCACGCACGGGCTCTCCTGTTCCTCTTCCTGCTGCTGCTGCTGCTGCTGCTGCTGCTGCTGTTCCTGCTGCTGCTGCCTGCGGGCTACGCCCACAGTAAACTCGCACTTGTTGCGGTAACCCATTCGCCCCGCAACAGGGGCAGGCAGCGCCGGCAGCACCTGGAGGCAAGCAAGCAGCACAGAATTAGTATTGCAGCAGCAGCAGCAGCAGCGGCAGCAGCAGCGGACAACACACACATGTGCAGAGGCGCCAAAGGGCGCTCAAAGCGCAGCAACAGCAGCACCAAAACCACGAGAAACGCGGTAGCAGGAGCTGCAGCGGTAGCTCTTTAGCAGCAGCAGCTGTAGCAGCAACTTTGCTGCAGCAGCGGGCTATTTACACCAGCAACAATGCTGCTGCTGCTGTAGCTGTTGCTGCTGCTGTTGCAGCTACCGCTGCAGCTTCCCCAGAGCGACCATGCCATCTTAACAGCACTTTCGCCGCAGCAGCAAGCAATTCGCTCCTGCGGCGAATTCGCTGCAGCAGCAACACTTCTGCTGCTGCAGCAGCTGCTGCAGCGGCTGCTGCAGCAGCTGCTGCAGCG